TATTCACACAGATGGAGTGTAATGTTTTGAAGATGTTAGCTAGGATTACACACAGTATAGCGCTCTGCATGAGGTACTGCATTCACACCATCCATTAAATGTAAAATTTGTATTTATACCATAGATAACATTAGCTGAAACAAATCCCCTTGTGTTCTGAATCATAAAAGCTAAACAACAGCATGTGGGTGAGAGATATCAATTTAAGGGAGTCAAAAGACAATTGTAACTGAGAATACTCATATTTATAAACTGTGTCATTATCTATATGTTATTATACATTTTTTTCATATAAATTGCATCATAATTATGCAATTTAAAACAATTGCTGTAAATGTCCACTTTATATTTATATTTTTCAGTACAAAAACTAAAATTTTCAAAATTTCCAATTTAGTGCAAGATGTCAGATTCCATGGTGATTTTTTTATATCAGCAATTGCCAAATTAACGAGTATGCTAATGATAAAATTGATGTAAGGTTAAAGGTGATAGGGGCGATCGTGGCTCAAGAGTTGTGAGTTTGCCTTGTAATTGGAAGGTTGCCGGTTCAAGCCCTGGCTCCGACAGTCTCGGTTGTTGTGTCTTTGGGCAAGACACTTCACCCGTTGCCTACTGGTGGTGGTCAGAGGGCCCGGTGGCGCCAGTGTCCGGCAGCCTCGCCTCTGTCAGTGCCCCCCAGGGTGGCTGTGGCTACAATGTAGCTTGCCATCACCAGTGTGTGTTTTACCAAAGGTTAAAACATCTACACAGCAGAAAAGACAAAATAATACATCATAAAAATAACTTCCACAAAACGTTTTCCTTTTTGTTTGTTGGTTTGTTCAGTACTTCTACCAAGCTTTCCTCTGAGATGCCTATACTGAGCATGTGCATACCATGTTTATAGTAGTAGTTTGTACAGTAGGAATGAGTCCTAAAATCAGGAGATTAGCTGGCCCTTTGTAATTCTGGTTACTTCTCTGGAAGTCCAAGATTGTTTGTTTTTGAAAGCTTGAAATAAGGTCAACACAAGCTTTAAGTGTTTTTATGGAGATTTTTTTCGTTTGCTACAACATAAAGCACATAAATAATACCCCACTCATAGATTTTGAAGCTAGTACATTTTCCAGAGAAGGTGTTTGCTAACACGTTGTTAAATGGGACTACAGACGTTGTTGAGGACATTCATTGTCAGCACACCAAACACAGGAGCATAGTGGTTAAAGTCATGCAACTGTGACGTCATTTCTTTATAGGTCAGCTTTAGCTACTTCTTGCTATTAGATTTACTCTTCCAAAATCATAAGGCTTAGAAAGAAATGTGTTACTTACAAATAGAAGTATCATAAGCTTCCCCATAGAGCATGTTTTCTCACCAAAACAAAAAAAACATTTGAAAAAGAAAAAAAAACATATAATCAAAATCTCAACCTTGCAACTACAACTGCTCTGGTCTACCTTATTCGGGTATCAGTCATCTTCAAATTTTCCTTTTACTACCCAAATAAATCATGAACCTAAATTGTTGCTTTGTTTGATATTGTGTGATATTAGAGCTGTAAGTTCAAAAGCACATGAAAATGTGTGATTGTCTCTCTAGGGATTCTAAAATGTAAAAAATATAGGGTGAATTAAGGGCAGTTTTGGAAAATATTTGAATTTATGGCTTTAAAATAATTAATCTTTACATAACACTGATGATGAATTTGAGGTGGAATGGCTGTTATGTCGTTTTTCAAGGAGAAGTACACCATTTCATCTAAAATAATCCCCAAACCATTTTTGTAACATTCAAGTGATTATTTTGTATGAAACATTTGAGCACTGCCCCACTGTTTAGCACATTAAAAGCCTACAGTAATTCCAAAAAACAAAATATAAAATTGATTTTTTTTGTTTGTTTTTTGTGTGTCGTGTTTTTTTTTCCGTCATATCGATGTTCCCATCAACGGTGTCTGTTACTTAAACTTGTGTGGTGTATGACATTTAGTGTTAACTTCCTGTACAGTGCTTGACTGCATAACTGGCCTATACCATGACACTGATGCAGACACACTGTTTTAATTATGTTGGTTGAAAGGTAGAGCTTAGCAAAGAAAAAAAAGTAGCTTTCATTCTTACTCATGAGTGGAAGAACCCTTAACTCACCCTGATAAGAACAATGATTATTATAACAATTTTTACAGTAATTAAGAAGAAACCCAGAAGCTGGTGCGCCTCAACATGCTAAGTATGTGGAAATCCTGCAGCATGTAAATTATGCAAAACTACAACAGATGATAAATCAACCTTGTCAATAAACCAGCTCCAATAAATAAAAACCTAAAACCAAATACTTTGTTTTTTTTACTCAACCTCAACCACACTTTATTTAACAAAATAGAAGCAGGTCAAATATCGCAAAGCATATAAATGTAACTTTGAAACACAGCGTTTGAAAGTTATGACAAATCATCAGTGGACTGTGGCACAGTAAATACTCCACAGAATAGACACATAGTTACCCCCAATATATCCCCTCCCTGTGATTGGACAGGAAAACCGAGGAAAGGGAAGCTGGTGGAGGTGGTGGCGTGTTCCGGGGGGGGGGGGGGCAAGGACGAAAATGGTGATGAGGGTGGTGACTGGTTTGTCACAGATCTGCTGAGATGTTAGTCTCCAAGGTCAAGCTGCGTATGATTATGTGGTTTGGGGTAAAGAGTGGAGGGAAAGTAAGGGCGGCTACACGTACATGCAAATGGTCACGCAGCTGCTCTCTCGCGCGCGCTCTCTCTGATTTGTCTTCACACATGCGGGCTGCATGACCGTGCACGCGCGGTCCTGCACGCACGCACAAAGGGGGCCGACAGACAAAAGAAAAAAAAGCAGGAAAAATGATTCAGCACCATGAACAGCGCTAGCTTGAATTGTAGGCCTACTTGTGGGGGGAAGAAGAGGCAAGGTGAGGGGCAGTATGGGGGATGTAAGCTCGTCTAAACATTACACTCTCATCGTGGCCATGGTAAGTTTTGACCGAATTAGCCTGAACTCGTGTCGAAATTAAGCATATTGGAGTGGGTTTTGTAAAAGAAAATCAGTTGGCAAAGTGAAAACCAGTGCTAGGGTTTTACATAACAAACATTAAGTCAAAAGACAAAAATGTTAATTGCACATTCCTCGCTTCTGTTTGAGCTACTGCAGAGTTAAAGAATTGACTTTCTTTTTTTCAAACAAGCCCCAGCTATTTTAATGCTTGTTTGTTGTTGTTTTTGTGTTGTTGTCATTGGGTTTTGTTTCGTTTTTGTTTTTTTGTTTGTTTGTTTGGTTTTGGTTTTTTTTTGGGGGGGGGGGGGGGTCATCCTTCTTCTTTGTTTTAAATTCAGGTAAAGCAATATAAGCTATAAGCAGCATATCCCATGACAATAGCTGAGCTTTGGGAAGAGAAAATAGCAATAAAACAGGTATTCAGTCATGGCATTGTTGTCATGAGCTCACAAAAACCATGCGGCCCCTTCAAGAAGAGTAGCTCAAGTTCAAAAGTGAATAATTTGAAAGCAAAAAAAAGACATCTTGCTTTATGTAGTTACCTCTGCGTTATGTTTGTATGTAGGTACCTTTGTTTGATTTCTTTCCTGCTGTAAAATGCTCCAGCTTGCCTCACTTCTCTCCCAGCCACAAAAAACAAAAACAAAAAAACCCGCCTCTTTCAAGCACGTTTTGTCCTAAATACAGTGACTTCTCCTATTTGGACAAGATTAGATGGCTTTACAAAAGCTCACAATATAATGAAAGTGAATCATAGCCATAAGCTTTTATGTGGAGGAATACATATTTTTTCCTGACATTAAAAAACAGCGTTCTATCTATGTCAGTCTACCTTCGCTGTTTACATCGAATTGCATTAGCTCAATTGAAAACACTTCTTTGCTTTTGAAAAAATATGACAGTATAAACCCCCCACCCCCATACCCCCAACTTGTTAACTTGTTGCAATGTTTTTTTGTTTATTTATTTGTTTTGTTTTCTTCCTCTCACCCAAAGCAGGCTATATTCATTGACACATAAATAAAAAGAAGAAGAAGAAGAAAATAAGGTTAAAAAAACACACTGTTATTTTTAGCTACATTAACTTTGCAGCATAAGCATCTGAGTGACGTTAATTGGTCATGCTCATCTGCATGTCGGAATATCTGAACAATTGGCACACCATAAAATAACACAGTTTTACATTCATAAAGGAGATGATGAGTGCGCAGACGTGGGTTTCTTTTTCTTTTTTTTCTCTCTTTTTGTTCAAAATCTGCGCCACTTAAGTATAAATAACCCCAAATATTCATCGACAATCAAAAAAAAATTATAACAAACAGAAAAAAAGAACATGCACTGACAGCTTCACTTCCATCACACTCCTCTTCCTCCTCTTCATCCCTCCTTTTATGTTTTTGTTTCTCCAAACAAGTTCAAAACAACAAATACAAATCCTAACTGCAGGTTCACAAAAAAATAGAGAAATGGCACTTTGTAATAGTCATATATAACTCTTAATATCTATATATAGTCGTCATATTGATATAACATGAGAAGGGGTCGAGTTGGCTCCTTTTTACGCTTGTTTGTGGTGGTTATGGTTTCCCCTCTCCGTCGCGCGCCCGTCTCTCTGGCTGTGTGTGTGTGTAGGTGTGTGTGTGTGTGTGTGTGTGTGTGTGTAGGTGTGTGTGTGTGTGTGTTGAAACCATGCGAAATATCTTCATGCAGATTATGATACATCGGGTCCGAGTATTTACATTTACATTCATGCGCTCGTGCACCATTCCCTCGGGGACGGGTCCTCGGTCCTTGAATCCACACACACGCGCTCGCTCTTTGAATTATTATTATTATTAATATTATTATTATTAATAATAATAATATTACTGTTGTTATTCTCTCTCTCTCCCCTCTTTTCTGTCTTGCAGAGATCTGTGGTCCGATTGCGGCAAAAACAAAATAAAAAAAATCCGACTACTGGGAGGGAGAGAGAAAAGGGGAGGGATGGGTTGTAGCCTTTTCTTTGGGGGGGGGGGGGGCTTGGCATATACATATATTACAGAGTGGGGTGAGGAGGGGCAGGGGGGCTGTGCAACAGCAGCAGCAGACTTAGTTCAAATGGATAAAATATAAAGTTCGTATGTGTATCTGTCTCTTTGTGTGTGTGTTTGTAATCCAGGGAAGGGAGGGGGGCATCTTTCCTTTTTACGCATCGTTTGTCGTGGAGAGATGCGTGCTGCAGTCGAAGCCCCGGTGCGCGCCCCCGTCCGCGTGATAAGACCCGCTGTGCCAGTACGAAGAGTCGCACACAGTCTGCAGGGAATTGATCTCGGACGCGGAGGAGTTTCCGTCCCTCCGCTTCGACCTCTTTCGGTTCCGCAAAATAAACACGAGCATCCCCACCACGGTGAACGCGGACGTGACGAACACCAGCAGCAGACCGGGCACGAGCACCGAGATGGAGACCCTGTTGGGCTCCAGGTAGGAGTTCGAGCGCGTCCCCGAGTCCTGCGCGAAAGTGCTGTTTTTGGACAGCGACGTCGGGAAGACGTAGAGCTTGGGGCACAGCAGGTCGTTCCGCACGTAGCGGAAGTCTCGCTTCCAGAACTCCTCCGGCGACTCGCACTTGAGGTCGCTCACGATCACGTCGGCCCCCAGCTTCTCCGTCCACTGCTTGAAGGGCACGATTTTGCACGAGCAATCCCACGGGTTCCCGTGCAAATCGATCTGGATGATCGAGTTGAGCTGGTCCAGCACGCCTGCCACGGGGAGATAGGGGAAGTAGTTGTTGTGCAGGCTGATCTTAGATAAAGAAATCCCAAGGAAAGCATCCGCGGGTAACGATTTGAGCAAGTTGTTGTTGAGGAAGAGAACCCTCAGGTTCGGCATGGGGCTAAACGCGCCCGCAACTACGAGCTGGATGTCGTTGTATTCCAAACTGAGATATTCCAAATTCACGAGGCCCATGAACATCTCCGTCACCAGCGCGTCCAGGTAGTTCTTATCCAAGTACAGCCACCTGAGCTCGCTCTGGTTTTGAAACGTGCCGTTGTCGATCACCTTGATGTTGTTCGCGCCCAGGTCGAGCAAGTTGAGGCTCGCATAGCCGAGCAGCTGGTTTTTCTTCACCGCGTGGATGTTGTTTTCTCTCATGTTGAGCTCGTGAGCGGCCAGGGGTTTGGGTTTGAGGTTGGACAGGTTCTCGATCTTCTTGCCCTCGCAGTTGACCCCCAGCCCCTGCCTGGAGCCCACCAGCTTGCACTTGCACGGCTCGGGGCACGTCACGTTGCGCAGCTGCTGTTGCTCCCTGTCCACACCTGCCGCCACTGGAGTGGGTTTCGTTTTCAGCTGCCAGTTCTCACGAGATTTAGAGTGGTTCTTGTTGGACCCGTGGCCTCCTGGCGTCGGGGGCCTGCTGGCATTTCCGCTGGGCTTGTAAGGCGTCGGGTGCGTGTCGCGGGCCATGGAGGTCTCCTCTTGAGTGGGAGGGGCCACCAGGCTGCTGTCCACGCCGGCGCTCTGCGAGGGGCACAGATCCGCCTCTGACGTCTCGTTCAGGTCGCTGCCCTGCAGCCTGGTGGGAGCCTCGCATATCACCCTCCCAATGAGCGCGTTCCGCGGTATGTTCTCCAGCCACTCCTTGAGCGAAACCAGGTCGCAGTTACAGTCCCACGGGTTGTCCTCCAACAAAACCTCCGCAATGCCCGGGATCTGCTCCAGGATCCCTTCATAAGGCAACGTTTTGATTCGGTTTCCGCGCAGGTCGAGATGCGTAATGGGCACATGTTGAAACACGTTCACGGGCAACGCGCTGATGAGGTTGTCGTTAAGTATCAACACTTCAAGTTTATTTAGGTCCCTGAAAACGGCGGGGTCAATATCCCTCAGTAGATTAAAATCAGCTTGGAGATATTCCAAGTCGTCCAAGCCCAGAAACGTGCTCTTCCTGAACGATCTGATCTTATTGTTATTGATGTGCAGCCGCTTGACCAGCTGAAGTCCCAGGAAGGCGCCGGGCACGATGTCGTGCAAGCCGTTGTTTTCCAAATGCAGACTCACGGCGTTGTAAAAGTTGGCGAACTCGTTGGGAAAGAGCCTAGAGAGAGAATTCCCGTGCAGCAGCAAGTGATAAAACTGCGAGCTGGGGCCGGTGAGCTGCTGCAGAGTGGTGAAGCTCCTCTTTTCGCAGTCTATGTGTAGGTCTCCCTCCACCTCGTTGCAGGAGCATATCTGCTCCTTGCAAACGTCCCTTGTAACGTTTCCACTGGCGAGACAAAGAGCGGCTTTCAGCAGGACGATCCAAAGCAGCATTTTTTCAACGTGGACGACTCATTCCCGGATTCAAGACGCGGCGCGAGCTGGGGGTCTGGTCTGCATCAGCGGGAAGGAGGGAAGCAAAAAAAAAAAGGGGGGGGGGGGAGAAAAGAGGGAGAGAGAGAAATACAGATATTTACGGAAGGGGGAGAGAGATAAGGCAGTCTTTTTATCACACATCCACGCTGCGTCTAACCTGCTCTCGTGTCCACTCTTCCAGTTTTGTTTCCTCTCTGTTCCCCCCACGAATCCAAAAACACAAACATAAACGTCTCTTTCAAGTCGACCGAGTCCTCACAGCCTCGCAGGGTTCGGGGATATAATCGGAAGAAAAGCGGAAAGAAAAGAGCGTCAGCGGAGTCCGGCTCATCTTTTCGTTTTTTTCTTTGCTTTTTCAGTTCGTTTAACACTGACCTTGGCAGTGATGGAGAGAGGGGGGAAGGTGGTGGTGGTGGGGGGGTAAAAACGAACAAATCCGTGGCTTTTTCCTCCCACCGGTTGTGTTACTGAGCGCTGCGGCGGCGGTGGCGGCTTCGTCGGGAGCTGTCCGCTCTCCCCCCGGTGCTGAATTCACTCCCAGCGCTGGGGCTTCACAGGCGGTCCCACCACTGCAAAACACCGGCATCCCCCCCCTCACATCCCTCGGCGTCTCGCCTGGCTCGTTTGCGCCGATTTTTTTTCCTTCTTCTTCTTCTCCTCAACACCAGCACCAACTACAACCTCTCTCTCTCTCACTCCCTCTCCTTTTCTCCCCCCTCTTCTTCTTCTTCTTTTTTGTGGCAAATTCAGGAATCACAAAAAGAGGAACGCGGAGACTGCGTTCATCCTAGCGCGGTGCTCTAAGAAAGATCTGACACCCTCTACTGAGCTGTAATGGAAAAAAAAATCCGTCGACTGACTGAGGGAATGCTGAGGAGAGAGAGAAAGGAGGGGGGTCGCTTTTCGAACCCCCCTGGAAGAAGAAGAAAACTCACTTTTGTTTCTTTCTTTTGCTTTTAGGGCTTTCGGTGTTTTCGAATTTTCCATCCAGCGGCACAAAAATCAAACACGCACAATAAGATGCTTCTTCCACGAGAATTCTCACAGCTCGCAGCTACACGGTGAAAGTGTCCAACCCGGCATCGTCAGAAAAATACACGGGTGAGATCTTCACAGTAAGGATCGTGATAGCTCAGCCTTCTTTCTCAGAAAGAAGAAGGAGGCATTAGTTTGTCCCTGCAGAGCCTCCACTGTCACATTCCGGACTTTCGACCCGTTGCTTCTGAGAAACACTGTTGAATGCAGTAAAAACAATTATCCGGTACAGGCATGGCTCAGCCCGCGCAGGGAGGGAAAAGAAAGCAAAAAAAAAAA